ATAAAGTTAAAACAGAATATTTATATAATTCATGTGACTAAATGCACATGATATAAGAGGAGCTACCAACAACCTATCTTCTTATTTTATCCTGTCTTCCCTTTAGGACCAATCTTTATTACAGGGGTTTCATCCATATTTTGAGAAAAGAAATACAAGGATATATGAGTTGCACTGTAGTATAATTCAGGCAAATTTCATGTTTTTTTGAGTATCCTTGGACTTGATCTTACACTGCTAAAATTTGTTGTTATAATCAGTATGCAATGTTTTTAGAGAACTAAATGGTGTATCAAAAAGGCTTAAGGAAAAAAAATATCTTAGTGAAATTGTTTATTCCTAGGAAAAAAGAATGAATTTTTTCAATTCTGCAAAAAGGATAAACTTTTAGTTTGATATTAATAATACCAACCTGTAATTTTTGCTGCCTTTTCCTCTTGGTTCACTCTGTTCTCATCATCATCTTCATTATCTTCTTCAAAGTCATCTAAATTGCCAATGTCAGCCTGTTTCATACTCATCAAGCTAGCCAAACTTTGCATGTCTTCATCTCTACATCAATGATTCAAAATATAATATACAGCTTATTAAATGGTATTGCTTGAAAAAATGGTTATGCCTTAAGAAAACACAGGTTGGAAATCCCTAATAGAAAAACCAGAAATCTAAAACACTCCATAAATCCAAAATTTTCTGAGCACTAACAAGATGCCATAAGTGTAAAATTCCATACCTGAAAACTTCATATGATAAGTTACAGGTAAAATTCAGGTGCACTAAAAATACTGTGTAAAATTACCTTCAGGTATGGTGTATAAAGTGTATATGAAACATTAATGAATTCTATGTCAATACATGGATCCAATTCCCAAGATGTTTTATTATGTATTTGTAAATATTCAAAAATCTGAAACATATCTGGTCCTAAGCATTATATGTATATTTTTAAAAGAAGTGGTAAAGTATATTCAATAAAGCAAAAGTGAAGAATAGGGGAGAAATTAGCTTTGCAGTATATGAGCTTGGGCCAAGTAAAGAAAAAAAGAGGATAAGAGCAAAGATAAAAGTACACTGTCTGAAAAATGCAGCGTGGGCTATGGTAAAAAGTTACAATAGCAAGCTCTTCATGGCTCCCCTTTCCTTTTATACTGTACAAATCTCAAAGAAACCTGCAAGTCTAAGCATTTTAGATAAAGGACATTCAACCTACAATGTTCTACAATATATATTCCTTCTTTCTACAAGGTATATAAATAAATACTTTTAAATAGTTGTATCAGAATGTTAAAATTTTAAATACACATTGATTTTTAAATAACATTTATATAAAAAGTAAATCATAATTAAAAAGTAACTGGTTAAAAAGGGTCGGGGATTTTGCTTAGTGGCGCCTCACCTGCCTTGAAAAATTAACTGGTAGGAGTTAGTTTAAGTCTGTGTTGAAGACCTATGAAAAGCTAAAATCTTCTTAATTTAAGTATGGTTTCCTGAACATGAAATCTAAAAACAAAAATTTGCTTCATAAAACAGTGGACCTGAACTTTAAAGTAATGAAACTTTCAAAAATTGTCAGGTATGGAGTTAGAGTAGAAATTCTTAACCTAAAATCCTCGAATCCTTTTGGATTTATGGGTTAGAGGAAAAGTAAGTGGAAAACCCCAGTAAATTATAGATATACGTACTGTTTGTTTGTTTGTTTGATATTGGGGATTGAATTCGGGACCTTGCGCTTGCAAAGCAGGCAGCGGTACCACTGAGCTGAATCCCCGGCCCCAGTAAATAATATTTAAATCTCACTTCAATGTAGAATTTTTTCAAAGGGGATATAACCCCCCCAGAAACTAAAGAACTACTATATGAAAAAGCACCTTACAAACCTAATCTTGCCAGGTGTGGTGACACAGGCCTGTAATCCTACCACTCAGGGATTAGAGGCTAAAGCAGGAGGATCACAAATTCAAGCCCAGCCTGGACAAATTAGCTACTTAGTGAGATGCTGCCTCAAAACAAAGCATTAAAAAAAAAAAAACGGCTAAATGATGTAGCTCAATGAGAAGGTTCTGGGTTTAATCCCTAGTATGGATTAAAAAAATTTAAAAAACTTGAAATTTTAGAAAATACAGGATGAAAATAAACCTGGTCTGATTACAGGTAAAACATCATATATTTGATAAAATATAAATTTTATAAAATCTTGAAGTATTTTAAATACAAATTTATATGGTTTACATTAAGTGTTCTAAAGGTTAAATTGTTCAAGTTTTCTTGATCTATTAATTTTCCCTTAAACTTCAAATAAACTATAGTGAATTAAATGTATTTCTGATATATTATATACAAATTAATTTTCAATTTGGCATACTTCCCCAAAATTCAGTTAGTCAAATTAAAAAACTTTTCTATAAAGCAATATCTGTTAATACTTATCTTTTAAATATGGTATGACTTTGCAAACTAAATTAGTTTTGTAAATTCTTCAGATTTTATCTCATATAGGCTTAGTCAAAAAAATCATTTCCCTGTTTTTAAATAAATGTAGTGACAGCAAGTCTGCAGAAACAAAAATAATTGCACTGGGCCGTGGATTTGGCTCAGTGGTTCTGCTGTCTGCCTCATAAGCACAAGGGCCCGAGTTCACTCCCCAGTGCCAAAAAACAAAAACAAAAAATAATAATTGCACTAATTTCATATGAAAGTCTTGCAAATTGTTCACCTATTAGTAACAGATAATAGGGACATAATTTCAAAACATATAACCTTAGGGGGTTACTTGTTAAATTCCATTACTTTAATTTCTTCATATTTTAACCCTAAACATTTTTTCTTCGGGAAAAGTAAGAAAGCAAGAAAAGAGATAGAGGGGGAGCTTTGTATATTCTAAGATAATTCCTATTCAATTCAAATTGAGACATTTGATTTTACTGAATTTCCTCTCACCCACATTACTGTGAATGGTGCTGATTCACTTACGGCTTCTGCCTAGTGGAAGGAAGTCCACCCTCAAAGGATCTTCTGTTAATTTGTTTTCTTTCTTCTTGAGTTTCCCTTCCTTCCATTTTGGCTTAAATTTCAGGGTAAGATCTTTATTTTTAATTTCTCAACACTTATAGGTACAATTTAAGGTCCCAAGATGAAAGATTAAGATGTTTCCATTCTGAATAGTCTAACTAACCATAATCACTTAAAACACAACTTCTCTGAAAGGGACCTTATTGTTGTTATCTCCCAATTCATTTGCTCATGTAGATGAGTGTCAAGCATCTCATTTTGAGTGATGCACGGAGTACAGCTTTATCAGTCAAGTAGACACGTCTAATTATAGTAACCACATTCCACTAGGGGAAATATGTTCAGAACCGTGATTCAGACTGGATTGAAATGTTCATAGTCGCCTTTCCCCCTTCATCTTTAATAGAAAATTCTAGGTATAGTATTTCCATTTTCCTATATTTTCATCTTCTACTTCAAGTACATACTAATTCTTTCATTACACTGATAGGATGTACTTATCCCTGTCTTGATCACATGCAATAACCAGGGTGAATGTTATTTTTACCTCATTCTATATACATGTTCTAGTTTTACTCTTTTAAGAGACTAGAACTGAGTCAGGAAAGCCTTATGCAATGTTTCTTTGGTGCTTAAGAAGTGATTTTTTGTTTTGCTTTATGTTTTGAAAGTAGGTCTCACTACATTGCTAAGCTGTCTCAAACTTCTGGGTTCAAGCAATCCTCCCACCTCAGCCTCTTAAATGCTGGGACAACAGAGAGGACACATCCATACTGGGGAGAATTGATTTTTGCAAAGGACAATGATCACCATAAATTGTTTATATGGCTGTACTTTCCTAAGCAATTTTTGGAAGGCTGAGCCAAGAATATGAATTAGAAGAAGTTTTCTAAGTTCTTCCATCCCTCTTAAGCTTTTCATTTGGGGTTCCTCTTATATCTCAGTTACATTAAACAGCTCCATTAATTGAACTATCCACACTTCAGAATGTAGACTACTGCAATGAAGGCACTGTACTATAAAACAAACACTATCTGAGTTAAAATCTGAAATTAGCAGTAACCACTTTTACAGACAGTTCTCATTTAACAAGCTACCTGTTTAATGACTATGTGGACTTATGACCCGCTGCTAAGACTTACAATCTATCTTTTTTGGGGGTACACTTCTGTACATCATGTTTACAGAGCATCAGTATCTTTATTTTTGTACAGTGCACCTTGTTTCTACTGTAATTTTTGCTGACTGTAATGTTCAGTACAGTACTATAGTTTTATGTTTCTGTTATACACTGCAGTAGTGCATGTGAGAGGTATGCAAATAATAGCAAAGTCACTAAGTTGGAGTTTCCTTTCACCATTTTCTTTGTTCTAAATATTGTAGGGTATACTATATGCAATTCCTTATTTAGTAACCAATTCATTTATTGACCTAGTTGCAGGAACAGATCCTGGTCCTTAAACAAGGAATGTCTGTAACTGTTCATTCTCTGGAATCATAAGACACTATAAATAACAAGGAGTTCATTTAACTCATCCTCTGAAACAAAACATGGTAAGAATGATTGGTATGTTCTATGATATTCAACAACTGCCAGTCTACTAGGTCAAAAGCTATGGAGTTTTCAAACACAATGTGAATGAAACAACTTATTTTAAAAAAAGAAACTTACGTGGCTTTTCCTTCCCTAAGGAAAATGCAAGATAACGAAAACTGGAGAGTGGCAGATACAACTTTTTTAGACAATGGCTTGAATTTTAACTTGACATCAGTCTGAGTTGGCATAGGGCTTGCATACTGTTTCATATTGATGCTACTTGTAGCAAGAGCTTTCCTTCGACCAGAAGGGGATTCCTAGAGGACAAAAAAAATTACGTTACTTGCTATTTTATAGCTAAATAATAAGATCAAATAATAATGAAGTACTCTCTTCTCCAATGAATTTTTATAACACAATAATAAATAAAAATGTGATGAAGATATATCATAACTTTCACATATAAGCAAAAAAATCTAAAAATCAGAAAGAAATGGCCTGGGCAGAAACAAGTTAAATTTAAAACAACCTTAAATAAATCAGGAAAAGAAGAGCAAAAATAAAAAACTAGGACAGAAAGTCTTTAGGATTATTATGAAAAGAGGATCTAGCACAGGGCTAGGCAACAACAATTACTCAAGAAGTGTTTTCTTTCCTTAGGTTAGATTTAATGTTATCTAATGGTATTTCTCCTTTGTAAAAATCTGTATTTTTTTTTTTTTTTTTTTTTTTTC